ACTACTCATCCTTCTGTAATTATGAAGCAGAGGAAGTACTTTGAGTGCAAAAATGTAAAAACTCCAGTGGAATGGTTCTTTGGGATAAGAAGTTACTGAGCATTGAGTGAGGCACATTGCAAAAAGTGTGAAAAGTGTAACAGGGAAAACAGACAAAGAATGTCCTCCACCTGGGTTAAAAACTAGAGGAGTGAATGGGAATTCAGTGCAAGGGACAACAGTCAAAAAGAAAGGATGCAACATTCTACACTGAATTCATTTTTTTTAACATGTTAAAGGATTAATTACATTGGACTCTGAAAACATGTAAACCACACAGCGTTCAGGATTCTGCCTTGTGCATGACATCAGTTTTCCTTTACTGACTGTCTGTGATGACTGAATGAAAACAGCCCCCAGAAGCTCACAGTAAGTGGCAGGAGATTAGGCCTTGTTGGAGTAGGTGTGGCCTTGTTGGAGGAAATGCTTCTCTGGGGGCAGGCTTTGAAGTTTCAGATGCTCAAGCCAGGCCCAGTGTGGTACTCTTCCTGCTGCCTGCTGATCTGGATATAGAACTTTCAGCTCCCTCTCCAGCACCATGTCTGACTATATGCCACCATGCCTCCCACTATGATGATAACAGACTAAATCTCTGAACTGTAAGCCAGCCCCAATTAAATGTTTTCCTTTATAAGAGTTGCCGTGGTCATGGTGTCTCTTCACAGGAAAGGAAACCCTAACTAAGGTACTATCCTAAGAAAGGAACTTAGATATGGAATGAACAGTCATCCAAAATAGCATGTGGCCCCATCCTATGGTACCTGCCTGCTAGATTTGAGACTTCATCCCTATTGTCTCATCAACAATGATTTTTTTTTTCATTTCCCATTTCCCTCCATTTAAACCTATATGTCCTTGCTTCTCTTTGAATTCTACTATCCAAACAGATATTTCAAAATACAGATTCCTCTATTAGCTAGCTTGCTAGAGAGGACTCTGCCTGCCATTTATTTAGGGATCAATTCTTTCTAGTACTCTTCCAGTTTGAACTAAAAAAACAAAAAACCATACATCTTAGTCTCCACCACTTTCTGACATGACAACTATTATTTGCCAAAATATTACCCCCATCTTTTTGTGACTGTAAATCTCTGAACAATCTCTTTAGATCAACCATCAGTATGCCTCAACCTCCTACCCTCACTTCAATCCCACCACCTCTAACCCAGCTCTTACATCACTAGAATGTGATACTTCTATAACACAAACATGAGCACGTCACTCCCTTTTTCAAATTCCTTCCTGACTATTCATTAAATGCAGATCTGAATCTGAGCTCCTAAAAATAGCATAAGATGCTTTTCCCCATAAGCCTATTCCCCATCTCAACCTGGAGCCTCCTCTCTGCCATTTTCTGCCTTGCCCTTTCAGATTCTGCTCTGGTCAATCCACTTGGCGTTTGTTTGCATTTCTCACATTCTCTCTGCATACATGTGCTTCCACGTGTCACCTTCAGGATCCATGAGAGACATCACACTGCCATGGCAGCCTCTGCATATACCCATTAAACTCTTCATATAATACTCAAATTCATGTTCATCTACCTTTTCTAAAAAAGCAGGTTCCTCTAGGGCTTATTAACTTTTATGCCACAAAATGTAGCATAGCATCTAGGACATAATATTATTCTCTGTTAAGCAAAGGAAAGCACAATCTCTATGGTCTGCTAGAATTCATAACAAAATCTCATCCTTAATCTATGGGAACTACTTGCCTGGCGTTCCTTAATAGCTATCTCAACTCTCTTCCTTCCTATAACATCTTATTCTGATGCTCCATTGGCTATTTTATCTGAAAATCTGGACCAACTCAGTTGGACTTCATGTTTATGTCATGCCACCACTGCCTACAAAGTGACAGTGACAAACAAAAAACAAAACCCACCCAGCCTGCTGCTTCTTCTACAGCTAACACTAACCAAAGAAATTCATTAAGTAGATTTATGAAAACAATTATCAAATGTCCTCTGAGGTCCTTCCAATACCGCAAGATGTCAGCATGGACTAGCTGAATAGCAGTTCTACTTTCCATATAGTTTTTGTCCCCTGATTTCAGATCTTATCTCCAATACTTATAGAGCTGTCTAGTCATAGTTCATGGACAGTACAGGATTGCAGCCCATCAATAACTCTAGCCATCTTCCTGGCAAATAGATTCAATTCCTCCCTAGTCAGTTGGTCAGCACGGTATTTTTTATCACACCCTTTTACACTGTAGACAGAAGAGTTGTCTCATGCAGTATTAAAGCTGGTCTGATCACAAGTTCAATCCCATTAAATGATAAGAGAAAACTGCTCACCAGCTCCCAAATTAAAGAGCTATGATTAAGAGTCATCTCTGCCTCTCATAATTTAACTGAGCCACAGCAGTGAAAGCTTTCTGTTGAGAAATGATAAAGATTTTAACTTGAAAGAAAATTCTAAGTACATTGCTCTTGTTGTCAGAACTGCAGAGTTAGGGAAAAGAAAAAGAGAAATGTTCAATTAATGCACAACTGAAGTTCCCAGCCAAGGAATTCTGAGATACCAAAACATACATTCTACATTTCCAATGCAAGAGGCAAAAACGTGAATTTGCATCTATTTCTAAGAAAAACGGTTGAAATGTGCAGGATTGATGTTTTTCAAAAAAGAGGAAGAATTGTGTACAGTAAGGTAAAGTCTGTGCTCATTCACAGTATTTTATTTTTTACTCTCCTGCCTAAAGCATGGCTGACCTTCCAATGTACTGTCATGACATCCCACCAGCAGCCCCCTCAGCAACCTCAGCAGTGGCCACTCTCTTTTTTTTTTTTTTTTTTTTTTTGGTTTTTCGAGACAGGGTTTCTCTGTGTAGCTTTGCGCCTTTCCTGGATCTCGCGCTGTAGACCAGACTGGCCTCGAACTCACAGAGATCCGCCTGGCTCTGCCTCCCGAGTGCTGGGATTAAAGGCGTGCGCCACCACCGCCCGGCATTGTGGCCACTCTCTTAACTAATACTTTCAGCTTCCCGCCACTCTTTGACCCATAATTAGTCAATCAACTTCCACATGATTTTTTTATTTTATATGTATAGATGTCTTACCTATATGTATCGGTGTTTTGTCTGTGTCCCACTCATGTTCCTGGTGCATCCAGAGGCCAGAAAAGGAATTTAGACCCCCTCCAATTGGAGTTACAGACTGTTGTGAGCTGCCATGTGGCTACTGGTAACCAAACTCAGGTACTTTGGAAGAACAGTCCATGCTCTTAACTGCTGATCCATCTCTCCAACACTTACATAATTTTTATAAGACCAAATTCAAGTGTTGTCTGTCCTTCCAGTAGCTTATTATGACACTCTTGCAACATTCTAGCCCACCATCTTGCCAGCACAAACATTTTCCTATGCTCTTTTGTCAATGTCTTCAAATAGCTACTATAACTTAACAAACTTCAAAGATGTTTTGGAATCTGTCCACACCTCAAAATTAGACCAGAGACTACATGAGAGCCATGGCGACTGACACAAAGCATTATAGAAGACATGAATGTTGGCTGAATAAGCAAATACTCTGAAAGACAATGCATACAGTGGTACGACACTGTGAGTCAGATGGTAGGTAATATTCTTTACATGGTAGTGAATAAGTTACTTTCCTCCTGTGAGACTTCACTTTTCTCACATTTTTAAATAAGCATAATAGGAATGTGGAGTGTAGTCTAGTGGTACACACAATGCATAAGGTCTTGGATTCAAGAACAATCAATCAGTCAATCAACAAACAAACTTAAAAGTCTCTTCATACAGGAAACTAGAAAACAGAAAGTGTAATTAGCCGGTTTATACTACAGGTGCTTTTATGATGAAGCTTAAATAAAGTAAAAAGACTTATATATGTGTACCTTAAAGTTGAAAAATTATTCTATAAAAAACTGCAAGTGCATAGGAGTAATAATATCCCATATATTTTAGGCAGTGATTTTGCAAATTGATCTATCATACAAAAGTAGTTGTTATATATCCCATAGTGAAAAGTGATGGAAAGAATATAAGAGGAATTGGAGGGGGGAGTTATTAAAACACATCATGTGCATGTATGAAATTTTCATACAGTAAAAAGGCATACCATAATGTAGAATTTTTAAATAAAAATAGAAAATCATTAATTTTTAACTTCTGTTAATACACAACTATTTTTTTCAGTGATGACAGTGAGAAGTTAACTTAGGATATAAAGTAGGCCCTTCTCATCTTGTAAACAGCAACCTAGGGAGTGAAGGGAGGTGCTTGAGACAAGCAAAGTCAGCAGGCTGTAAGCTCACACAAAAGAATCAGGGTGCATTCAATAAATGTGTAAAATAAACATGAGTTCTGGCTAGTCTGACATTTAGACACTTCCACAGAGACTCTCGCCTAAATAAAAACCAGAAGAATTTGTCTCTGTTACAATCTGGGTCTTAATTTAAAATTTTTATCACCCTTTATTTTCTTATTTTTGCCTACACAATACATTTAAGATAAATACTAAATGAGAGAAAAGAAACTTAGATGCTTCTAACATGTAATACAGTAACGCTTCTCTGGCAACCAAGTGTTACATCTTTATATACTCAGTTATACAACAAAATATATGGTAAAGCTAGGCGTGCTAATGCACAGCTATAATAGCAGCACTTAGGAGGCAGAAGTGAGTATATCTCTGTGGGTTCGAGGCTGGCCTGCTCTATACACCTGATTCTATGATGGCAGTGCTACACAGTGAGACGCTGCCTCAAAAGAAAAAACAAACAAACAAAAAGATGATACATAGATAGATAGATAGATAGATAGATAGATAGATAGATAGACAGACAGACAGACAGACAGACAGACAGACAGATAGATAGATAGATAGATAGATAGATAGATAGATAGATAGATAGATAGACAGGAGATATATATGGCCATACCAAATATAGTTTATTAAAGATCATAAATTTTAGGATTCCATGATGAAATACCTTGCTTTCAGCTAACCAGCGATGTGGGTCATATTGTATTTCAGGCCCAGAGGTAAACACCTACAAAAAGAGGAAAGAATGTTAGAAATAGGTTTTTCTCTGGCATAAAAGTACATAAATAAAATTACTGACCACAACATCCAAATAAATAGTCCTTAAATGTAAGGCTTTGAAAAGAGGAAGATTGTATCAAGTATGCAATCAATTTCAAAGCACAGTTATTAAGTGCCTATTATGCATTTATTTACTGGATGACAACAGCCAGCCAGTCAGACAGAGACACATAAGATGAGCTGGCTGTCAAGTGCTCCCCTCACCAGCCTCTGGAGTTGAGCCCATGAGGTCTCACCTGGCGAGCAACCTTGATTAAAGCCTGTTTGCTTTGCCTCTGACTTCCTCTCAGTGCTGTTCCAGTAACGGACTCCACAGAGGTTTAAATGTGCCTACAGAGAAACTTGATTCTGTCTCGTTTATCCATCTTTATACCTTGGGGTCCATTTTGTTTTATCAAAGACTGTAAAGAGCAGCTCATCAAAATAAATTTATGCAAACATTGCTTTATATTTCAAAACAGACAGAAAATTTTGTATTAAACTGTTGCCTTTATTAGCTGCTCTGATTTCCTTTATACCAACTCATTTACAAAATCGCTCAACATCTGCTTTTGCCTTATTACTGAACTAAATCTACACTCACAAGCTGCTGATGTCTTTATAATTGTAAACACAAATTACATTATTCCCAGTTCTTCAAACTCAGTGCTACATAGGATATTTTTGCAGAACTTCTCGATATGTTTTATCTAAAAATATCCTTTCTTTTCTAAAGAGATGTCTATTTCTGCTCTCAAATGCTTACATATCTCCAGGTGTATGTACACAGTTCTCTGTCAGAATAGCAGTAGTTAATTCACTTAAATACATACTTAATACATATTAAGTATCTACCACATTCCATACACAAAAGTATAGTGGCAGTACACCCAATCACTTCTTTCTCTAAGTCTAACCCAGCTCTTCTGCTGGTTTGTTTGGTTTCACTTTGTCTCGTGTTTTGAAATGGGGTGTTGCTATGTAGCCCTGGCTTCTCTGGAACTGTGGATACCTATCTAGAGGAGGCTGGCCTCTCTTCTGCAGCTCCCATGCTAGATTAAACGCCTGAACCACCACACCCAGCTCTAACCTAAGGTTTAGGTGCTCCACCTTTTCAATCAGGCTTTCCCTAATTGCCCAAATTCTCTATTTCTTCTTCCTCTTTCAACAACAAGCTATGCTGCTAAACATCTGTGAGCACCCATTTGTCACCAATTATACTTTCCTTTTCATTAACCAACTCCATTAAATCTTTACTGCCTCAATCAAATCTTCCCTTTGGGTAATAATATTTATTTTGATACAATACAAGCAATGTCATGATTTGCTCCACAGATTTGCAAATGATTTCATGTTTTAAAGAACATCTTTCACCAGTTATAAGTGGCAGAACTACAGGTTATCAGGGTCATGGGACAAAGACACTAACATAAGGTCAAAGTATAAATCAAATACACGAGTGTTTCTATACGGCGGGGAACACAAAGCCCACTCAATAGACAACGATGACTGCCCATCAAGATGTCATCATAGTAAACCTCAAGGAACTGTGACAAGAACGCTGTAACAGGCCTGTGCTGTGGAAAAAAAAAAAAAAGACGAAAAGAGAACATGTACATACATCTAAACACAACAAAACACAGAATTACTTTCAGAGTGTATTAAAAGGACAGTTTGTTCCTATAGAGCAGTGATTCTCAACCTTCCTCATGCTATGAACCTTTAATACAGTTCCTCATGTCGTGGTGACCCTCAACCATAAAATTATTTTTGTTGTTACTTCATGACTGTAATTTCACTGTTGTTATGAATTGTAATGTAAATATCTGTGTTTTCAGATGGTCTTAGGTGATCCCTATGAAAGGATTGTTTGACCTCCAAAGGGGCTGTGACCCACAGGTTGAGAACCACTGCTATAAAGCTACAAAGTATTTAAGAATGTTCCTGTCCATGATATTCATGTATATTTTCCAACAGTTACATGTAACAAGGTTTAGTATGCATCTTATAACATGATTTACATGTTTTGATTTTAATGCTCATATATGACTGAAAACTACCCAAATGAAATAGTTAAACATGGAATAAATGCTACATTGCTAATATATGTTCCTTTGCATGAAATTAGGGTTTACAAGTCACATGCTCAGAGAAGCCTTAACATTTAAGAAAACAGCATTAGACAGGAAAAAGATAGGCAGCATATAAAGACCCTATGGCATCCCCAGACTCAGCTCTCCACTTGAAACCCAACTACTGCTGGTCTTAGTCTCACAGCTTTGTCACACTGTCTCAAAAGAATGAATAGGGAACTGTAAATTACAAAGTATCTACCAACTCTACTCATTCTACCAATTGAAATATTTGTAATATAGTTGAAGCCTTAGAAACCTTTTCCTGAAACAGCAGAATCATATCTTTATTTTCTTTCAAACATCACTTAGAGAAAAAGGAAGATAGGAGGAAAAAAAATCAGGAAAGTGGGAAGAGATCTCAGGAGAGCTCTGAGGAAGAAAGAATGACCCAGCTTCAACATAAAGCCACCTAAGTGCAATACCACCTTTCAGTGTGGCCATGTCATAAAATGAAATAAACAGCTGAACATGAGGCTGCAGCCTAATGTGTTAGGAGTATGTCATGTGAATACAGCAATGCCAGAGTCCACATTTGAAAACCGTCTACCTTCAAGGAATTCAAACACCCATGGGACACTTTTTATATGTCATCTCCTGACAACCATTAATTGAGAAACAATGAACCTGTCTAAATACGGGAAAGAGTACACCAATTAGAGCTCGAACAACAGGGAATGTGCAACTGCAAAGCATTTACTTGATTGGGCCCCAGTCAGTCCACAGAGGTTCAATTCCTACTTCAGATTTCATCACACTGATATGTAGGAGCAAGAACCCAGCCCCTCCAGGTATGGTTCTCTTTTCTACACTAGATTTCCTGGAGCATTGGAGACATGGGTTGATTTTAAGGGTTATGGGAGACCCAGCACACACCATACTTACCATTAAACCTCTCAAGAAGAATTCAACAGCATTGCTAACAAGCTACCATGGTGGAAAATTCAGAATCCAAGCTTCTTGATTCAAAGGACGTTCCCTTGATCAATACTCCTGCCTCTTCGTTAAGGGGCTATCTTTCTCTCAGTGAGACATGGGTAACTCAGGAGAACAACCTCACACTTTCACCAGGACTGTGTAGTAATAGTTTCTAACTCCTACGCAATGCAAGAAGTTATTTTGTTTCATAAAACATTCTGAAATAAAAATGTGACTCCCATATAATCACATGTTCCAATCCCATTATAATTATATATTAGAAAACTAACTGAAATTTTAAGGTACAATGAGAACTCATAATTACTTTCAATTTCTCCACGGAGTCTTTGGAGAAAGTTTGACAAGCTGCATCAATTTCCCTTCCTATTACACCAAGAATGGATTCCTGCTCTGTCTCCAAACAAAGAAGTTGATCCTTGAGCTGCAGCCTGGCCTCCTCCATTCTCCTTAAGTGCTCTTCTTCATTACTTATATGTTTCTCCTGTAACATGAGAAATAAAACAGAACCTTGGTAAGCAGACCCAAGACACAGTTACCTATGGACCAAACTTAAGAACAAGATTAAAACACAGATATGAGTGGCCATCTCTTCACTTGGCAAAATAGGTATCTCATGAGAACTAAGGTATAAACAACTGGCAAAAATACTATAAAAATTCTGGGAACAAAAGAAACAATGTTGAAAATGTCCTCTGCCATTTGACAACAGTGTTGTTAGTGGGTCAGAAGAAAAGCTAAAACCACAAATTGATCATGGGTGAACCCTAAACATTCATAAAATACCAGAAATATAAATGACCAAACACGGTGCTTGCTTTCAATGTGTTATCACCTAAATTCCATCACAAAATATTCCTACAAAGTTCTCATTTTTGAATGCCATCATGCTATACACACGCTTTTGAGACATGAAAATTCAATAAAAACCAAGATGGAAACACATTCCAAGTAAACAAATACATTGAATGAAAATGTTTTTCAGGAGGTCTTGAAGAGATTACAAGTGCTTCAGGGTCGCCTCTAGGAAGAACAATTTGCAATCATTAGTACTTATTATACAATTCTCAATAGTTACGATTAAACAATTTCATTAAAACCAAGCATCCTTGACAAGAAAATTCAAAATCTCCAATGCCCCCAAGTCCATAGCTTTAGGTACATTGATACAACACTCAGAATGCTTCACTTTGGGTTGTGAATTAGGAATGTTAAACTGGTAAAGTCAATACAAACAGTCTAAACCCTCAAAAGCTCGACAATGCGTGCTTTTTGAACACGTGCTGGAGAAATTCAAAGCCATGTAACACAGAGCATGCAAGATAATGAAATTACTTGAACTGTATAAATAACAAACCACAGTCATAGTGCTAGTTTAATATGTGTTCAGTCATTACACACTAGCCTAGTAATCTTTAACAACTAATTAGACACAAGAAAACAAGCAACAGCATGTGGGCATCAAACCCACTCTGAATTTCAGAGAAAAAAGAAAAAGAACACAGTTGTTAAAAATTAATCACTGGGGCTGGAAAGATGGATCAGCAGTTAAGAACACTGGTTGCTCTTCCAGTGGACCTCAGTTCAATTCTCAGCACCTACATGGCAGCTCACAACTGTCTGTATCTGGTACCAAGGAATCGGATGCCCTCTTCTAGCCTCTGTGGCACAGGCACACAAGTGGTGCACAGACAGACTTCCAGGTGCAACACTCCATATAAAATACAAATAAATCTTTTTTCCCTTTTATAGGAAATAGATTCTTTTCTTGTAGAATATGTCCTGATTATGGTTTCCCCTCCCTCAACTCCTCCCATTCCTGCCCACATCCACTCCCTTTCTGTCTCTCATTAGAAAAGAACGGGCTTCGAAGTAATAACAACCAAACATGACAAAATGAAATACAGTAAGATGGATTTAGACACGGCAATTCAACAGGAGAAAAGGAGTCCTAGGAGCAGGCTCAAGATTCAGAGACCCACTCACTCTCATACTCAGAAGTACCCCCCAGAAAAAATACTAAGCTAAAAGCTGTAATATACATGCAGAGGACATGGTGGAAACCAATGTAGGCCCTGTGCTTGCCACTTCAGTCTCTGTGAACTCATCTGTGCCTTGCTTAGTTGATTCAGAGGGAATAATTCTTTAATCGTGAAAGGAAGAGTAATGTCTTAATAAAAAAACACAAATATTTCATTTCAGTTCAGCTTATATTACAAAATAAATGAAAGCTCCTCTGCCAACAAGTGCAGAGCCTTTGACAACTTCTCTTCTGCCCTTACATGCAGCCTTACCTTCTTTTCTACTGTCTCCTACTCTGACTCAGTTTCTCAAACATGCCTCCTTACGTCTACCCTGAACTCATGGATTTTTACAACTCTGCCTGAAGTTGTTCTACCTCAAAATAGGGCTGTTGCTGAGAAACCATTTGTCTTGATGAGTTCAACTTAATCCATACCTAGATCTGGCCCTCAGCTTTACGAACATGGAACTGGAATTTTGTTTCTTCTAAAGACTGAGTGGAATCATCTCTCAGCAGGAGAACAACACATAAAGAAATTAATGTACAGAACAGGACGCCATTCAGTTAACTCTATCTATTTGCAACAAGAACTATAACTACCATATGGATCAAAATCACGTCAGTATAACCAATATCAGTACCCCTACAGACTGCAGTGGAGCAAATGTTATCTAATAAGCAGAAGACAGAGTTTGCTTTTTGAAGTGATATTTAAATGTCTACTTACAGCAGTATGGCATGGCTAACTACACATCATGGTCTTAGAAACCAAGATGCCAGGTGTGTCTCAGTCTTCTAAGCAGTGTTAAGATGAAGGCGGCCAAGGTATGCTGCCTTTTTTCCTCTGTCCAAACTCTCTCCTGATCGACACATTTCTATATATCAACTGCTACGTATACCAGATCTCTCTCTCTCTCTCTCTCTCTCTCTCTCTCTCTCTCTCTCTCTCTCTCTCTCTCTCTCTCTCATACAGGAGTCTGTCTGAGAAATTAATACTCTGGCTTTGAAAAATGTTTGATAATTTTGATTTATTTATTAGGAAATAACCTTTATTGCAAAGTCCCTAGGTAAGATAGTTGCCTTCCAATTATTCCTATGTACTTATCGCTATATTATATCTTATTATTCCTTCCTACCTATTACTGTACCACATCGTATTCTTTAAAATTTATTCTTCAAGATCCACTACCACTCCTTGGTCATCAAAAGCATGTTATTTATATCAATTTTTAGTTTACCAAATCTTAGTGTAATTATCTGTCTGTGCATCTTTAACCCACAAATATTGCTTGTGTTTATCCCTAAATTCACACACTTTGCTGAATTAATGATTTTGATATTTTTTGTGAAGACTCAACTTCAACATTGTAAAGACAATCTTATGAATTCCCATGCAGGTCTATACTTTCTGAGGCATTAAGTGGCTATGGTGGTCTCGCTGATGCAATGTTAAAAAGGTGCTCTATCAGAAAGTACTGATGCATAGGAGACTGTCTAGCTTCTAAACCTCAGGAATTCACAATGACTTTCTAAAGGAATTCTTTTCTGCCACACACAGCCATCTCTTATATAATATCTTTATGTCCCAGAACACTCACTCTCTCCATGGTTTGAAGACTGTAAGGAGACACGACTGTAATAAAAATATAACAGCTTCAAAAATAAGGAACAAAACCAAAATGCTACCTCGTAACAGGCACTGTGACACAGACTGTAACCTCAAGGAATTGAAGGCTGAGGCAGGAGGATTGAAAGTTGAAGCCCTGCTTTGTCTTCATAGCAGTCCAAAGCCAGCATAGACAAATTAGAGAGACTTTGTCTCAAAATATAAAAACAAGAAATATTTTCAAAGAACAATAACAAGCTGGGCATGGTAGTACACATCTTTAATTCTAGCACTCCACAGGCAGAAGCAGGCAGATTTCTATGAGTTTGAAGCCAGCCTGGTCTATAGAGTGAGTTACAGTACAACCTGGGCTACACAGTGAGACCCAGACTTCAAAAGGAGAGGGAGAGAGGAAGAGAGGGAGAGAAAGAAGAGAAAAGAAAAAAGGAAGGAGAAAGAGAATAAAGCGACAACAGAGATGCTATAGTTCAGTGGTAGATAACATGCCTACCATAAGCGAGGCCCGGGGTTCACCTCAGTACCACAGAATGCCATCTATTTGTGAAAGTTCTGGAGATACCATCAATGTCTTAACAGTTTTAAAAATGACATTTTGTTTCCAAGATATTTATTACCTGAAATGAACCATTTTCTCACACTTTAACAAAAATACATTTTAAATGCTTATAGCCTAAGTAAAGCATTGATTTCCAAATAAACTTTCAAAAGTAATCATTTTCTTTAACTGAAAACTAACTTCAATGAGCAAATATGAAATCTTTCCGTCCTAAGACCATCTATACCACATTGCTGGGGGAGGAGAGACACAAGTAGAAAACACAGGGAACATACACTACTAAAGAGTGAAACGAAAGCCAGTGAGATTTAATTAAAATTCACTGGCAGCATGGCTGCACACTAGAGCGACACACATCAGTCAGGAAGCTGGGATGAGGAATATTCCGTAACAGGAAAACAGCTGACTCTGGCTTTAAATTCCAGACAGTAATATTACACAGCAAATTATGAAACCTTCCTGAACAAAAATTGGGCCTCTCTACAAGTTGTTTACCTGACTCTGGAAAGAAGACTCCCATTCCCCATGCCAACGGCAGCATGAAAGCTAAGGCACACTGAATGTCACCCATGGAGAAAAGGCACCCACTCTAAGTTTTGTTAGAAATGTAGAAACAAAGGTACCAAACGGCAACCCCAACTGTCTTGCAAATTAGGCAAAAGTAAACTATTATTTCTCGAAATTTGTTCTAGTGCTTGTCACATCATAACCATTTTGTTCAAACCTAAGTAAACACAGATGTTCCATGATAGTAAATTCTGCAAACTCAAAGTAGTGCCATATACATGTATGTTGATATAAAAACTGAGCGGAACAAAACAAAAGGCCCGTGAGGCGGCTCCCTGAATAGAAGGGTTTGCTGAGTTAACTTAAGGACTTAAGTCAAACCCTCAAAACTAGGGTAAACGTAAAAGAAGAGAGTGGACTCTATGGAGTTATCCCCTGACCTACACATACACACAATGGCACATGAACTACGTGCATATACATCATTTATACACACAGAGACACCCAATAATAATAAATGAAATAAAAAAAAAGCGATAGCCACTCTAAACTAGAAATCAGATAGCAATTCATAAATTCATACTTGCCATCTTGAGAGCAATAGTACTGAGAAACAAACAGAAAGAGCAGAAGCTCAGGAATGCTGAGAATTCTTCACTCATGCTAAACTGCAGTACCATGTACCTTCCTGCCCACATGGACTTTATAGTAACAACATAAAACCTCAGGCTTCGCCGGGCGGTGGTGGCGCACGCCTTTAATCCCAGCACT